GCCGGAGCTGCAACAGAGAAGGGGGGCGGCCAGCCGACATTGGCTGGCAGATGGGATCCGGAGAAGGCCAAGTCTGTACGATCGAATCGGTCTTTGGGAGGTAATTGAGAGGCAGTTTCTGTAAGCAGGGCAACAAAGATGAGGCTAGAAACAACACCAGAATGTTTCCTTCCTGCCTTCCTTACAGGATTAGCTCTGTAAAGTGGGGAAAAACTGGATAGAGATAAATGGCATTTTATAAATATTTAATAACTCTGATTTGTATACAGTTAAAATACACACATTGACAGTAATTATTCAGTGAATAATTACTTTTGGAGAAATGGGTGGTTCCGAGATTTACATAGAGCTGAGGGTGGAACTCTTGCTAAATAATTCCGTAAGCACTAAAAGTTTGCCAACATGGTCTATGGTCTCATAGCCCATCTGTATGAATTCACAGATGTCCCCTCAGCTGCAATGACAGGTAAGTACTAATTCTTAGTATGCTTCAGGTTTTATGACAAAAACAGCAATATGTTATGTTCGGAATGTTATCTCACACTTCAAAGCAACAGCTGTGAGGAATCAAGCCTCACCAATGAATATTTCAGGAAAGGGAACCTTATCTAGCTTAATGTAAAAGTCGTAGTCTAAGTAACAAGCCACGATTGAGAGCATGAAATTATAAAATTCCTAGCAAGCAAGATGAGAAAAAGCGAACCTTCAAAAAGAATGAGAAAATATTTTATAAAGCATTAACTTCTACTGGAAAGGACACTTTAGACCACTGAATTAAAACTCAGAAGCTGTGTTCAAGCTACTCTCTTAAACATTTTGAAAAATTACGGGATTGTTTGTTCTCTCATAGAATTCTGAACTTAACTCACCTTGAGTGAGTTATGGTATAGAAAAGTCAATTTATCTCCACTAATTTCTGTGTATACCTCCCAATTTTTCATTTTAGTGAGGGGAATGTCTCTCTTATTTTTATTTTTTTTAGAGGTTCCACCCATCTTATCAAACCCAATTTATACATTACAAAAGTAGCGTCCACCTGTCCACCCCCCGAAAGCAAATAACTGATTGGATTTTTCCTAAAGGAGACAGCAGGATTTCTCAGGTTAGGAAGTTTGCATAATGCTATCAAAATTTGATTGGAGTTAACATTCGAAATGAAATTTGAATAGAATTTTGGAATAGCAGCTTTATCTATATAGACAAGGATCCTTAGGCATTATGATGATAAGAGATAGAAAGAGGGAGGTCCCATTTCTTTTCTATATCTTTGGCTGCAGTTGACTTAAATGGGTAAATGGTCAAATCTTGCCGAAGGTCTGGTCCTTGTTCTGGTATTATTCGTAATCATTAATTAATCATTAATTCTTAACCAATTTCATTGTATCAACCAATTTTGTTGTATTTATTTGCAATGACAATAAAAATTATACTTACAATATTGAAGGAATTCACACAGTTTGTAACTTCCATTACCACATATGTTTCAGAAAAGAAATTAACCAAGTTTAACCAATTACCTCAATTGGAATTTGTTGTATTCTACATCTGCATCCAACATGGACAATGCTTTATTGGATATCTATTGTAGCCTTTGAGCAATATCCTACTGTATATCTATTACCAGTGGTGGCATTCAAATAATTTAACAAACGGTTCTCTGCCCTAGTGACCAGCTGGATAGGCGGGGCTCAGTGGTCATGTGACTGGCTGGGTGTGGCCAACTCAATGTCACTCACATCGATGAGCGATTCACCTTAGCTGTTACAATGTAATAAGGGTTAACCGGAGAGGCAGTTTCTGTAAGCAGAGCAATAAAGATTAGACTAGAAATAACACCAGAATGTTTTCTTCCTGCCTACCTTACAGGATTAGCCCTGTAAAGTGGGGGAAAAAA